TTTTTACACGCCAAGATGAAAACCCGGCGGTGGCCTCTAGCCCTCGCACGACCAGGCCATTTCTCATAACACGAACGACCAGGGGGGGGGGGGTTGTTACGACCCCCCCCTGGCGTTTCGAAACGGAAGGTCGTAGAGCTTAGCGGAAAAAAACAACGGATTGCTCTCAACGAGATCTCGCGATTGGTGGTATATTTTTTGGTCCTAGGTCAACATTTGACCTACTTTTGACCGGTCAAAGGTCAAATTTTCGGAAAAATAGACTTTTTTCAACTTTCGGCGGCGATTGCGGCAAAACGGTGGGAGATATCGACTTGAAACCTTCACTATCGTGTTCCTTGATCAATTCTCTATCGTTTGGTATGTATTTCGTTTCCCTAGCTCTAAAAATGGCGCGTTGGGAGCGCCGGAAGTCGGCAAGGTCACAGTCGGCGGCAGAAATTCGAAAAATCAAAATTTAAATTTTTGAAATCTAATTGTATTTTTGGATTTGGGAGGTCCATTTGCTTCCTATAGAAGCTAATATTGCTGCATATTCCCATCGAGGTGACAAGAATTAGCAAAATAGTGGTTCGGGCGCTTTTCAAAAATAGTACCGGACGCTGTTCCTCTTGTGACGTCATAGCTCCGTGACCTGACCTGACCCGGTCAAATTTCTTATACCATATGATAGCCAATACTTGCCCCAACATGCATGGGAAGTTTCATCACGATCCATCAACCGATGTCCGTACCACCGGCAGGAAACCTCGGGCGTTGGCACTCAGTTTGTGAAAATCCGGCCGGAGGCTGTACCTCTTATGACGTCATAACTCCGTGACCTGACATGACCCGATCAATTTTTTTCGGCAAAAGATGCGCAAAGGTTGCCCCAGAGGGTATTGAAAATTTCAGCCCGCTACGACAAGCCGTTTAGCGTGCACTTCGAAAAAACCTCAGGGGGGGGGGGGTTGATACAACCCCCCCCCCCCTAGGCGTTCTAGGGCTAGCTGCCCCTTTTACTATATTATTCGTAAAAGGTTCCATACTTCAGCTGTAGTGATACAATGGGTCTTTGTTCTGCAGGTGGGTACTGCTCGGATGTTCCGTGTTCATGTTCTGCTGCGGCCTTCCAATGTGCACCAGAGGCGGGCTGTATATTCTTACGGTGAGTTTTGTTCCAGTAGGATGACAATATAGGGCTGCTATTTGTGTAGTATTTATGTCTGCGAATATGTCCACGCTTGCAGTAATTTTTCCAATGCAGGGCACGCTATTACTTTGCCATGGATGGCAGGCAGGTGTGTTGAAGTGCACGGTCTGAATTACATTGGTTGATTTCATGACATATTGTGTAACTAAGAGATGTACAATGTACATGCAATTTTACTTCAAAATTTCACGCGATAACAATTCGTAATATTGTTTGTAGTCGTTTCTTGTGCAACTGAAGACCTCTCACCGCGTGACTCTCCATGCCTATTTTCCCAGCTGATGGACAACTACGCGGGCACGTTTTCTGCTCTGATCGTGGGCATGACGGAGGTGCTGGTGGTGGCGCACATCTACGGCGCCGACCGTCTGCTGGACAACATCCGCACCATGATCGGCCACTACCCGTTCCACTACAGCTGGTGGAAGTGGGCCTGGAAGGTCGTCTCGCCCACCATCGTCACAGTAAGCGCTCAGCTGCACACGCACAAAGGCAGATGATTATTTCAGTTGCGTAGCTTCTTGACGGTTCGCGACTTCCAGAATAATTATTTCAACTTTATTCATTCAACTACTCAAGCGCTGATATCAATAGTTATCAATAACAATAGTATCTGTCCCGTTTACAGCATCAAGAGCTCGTCTCGCCGAATACCTATCCCGCGAACATTACCTATCACTCGGTAAGCGCCTTGATTGGTAGGCAACCCGCAATGCCCGTTTGTCGTGCGTTGGCTAGGTACTGCAGCGGAGGTGGGAGCGGCGCAAAACGGTTTACCGTAGGATGCGCTGACAAGTGACATCAGTCAAGGATCGTGTCGATTAACTTATTCGTATGTGCCTCTTCTCTTGTTACAGGCGCTGTTATTATTTTCGTGGATAGACCACAAGCCGATCCAGTACGGCGACTATGAGTTCCCGCTATGGGCCACCGGCGTGGGCTGGCTCATCTCACTGACGTCAGTCGCCATGATACCCCTGGTGGCCGTCATCAAACTGGCCAGGATGGACGCTCGACTCACCCTAAAACAGGTTCGGCTGCTCTATATTTCAAAAGCGTGACGCTTTTATATTGCTTAGATTATCAAAACACTGAGCGGGTGTCGTAACTCGTAGCAATCAAAATAGCCAATGGGAATAATCTAATCTGCCAAAAATCTGTCAAATTTGCATAGCGGTAAAAGCCTGCCTAAGAGAGTCATGTATTGCCGTGTGTGCGTCAGTGCTTCCAGCCGTGTACGGTGTAGGTTTCAAGTGACAACGCTTCTATCATATACTCAGATAAAAAAGTCGACTAGCGTTTCGAGGACAACTCGTACATACTTCATTTTTAAAACACCCAAGTTTTTATTGGCGTGTCCAATAAACATAATGAGCAACTGACCGGCCTGTACGTTTTTATCATCGCTGAAAATCATCGGTACAGTGATTACCTATAGGTAATCAAAAGGTATTTTGTCAAAGTTAGAGGTATAGTCAAAAGGTATTTTGATATGCAATTAAACTCTTCCGCAGAGACTGCAGCGCCTGACACGACCTGACGAGACGTGGGGACCTGCGCTGGACAAGCACCGCATAGAGGCCAAAATGTCCGTCAGACGGGCCTCAGAAATAGCTGGAGGCCGGTCAGAGGGTAAGTGTTGCTGGCATCTCCGCCAATGGGACTTGAATTGTTTCGACGATTTATTTATACGAAATGGCTTCCTTTGTTATGACTGTGTCCGTCACAATTGTTATGTTAGCATAACCGCCAAAACCTATACCTACTCGTATGCTGATAATGATAATTATTAATTATTTTGAGGAACCATGTATTTGTTGAAGCTGATTGGTACATTTCAGATGTGGAGCTGAACTAGTCGCCCTGAAGCGCCGATCGAAACCGTCAGACGCCGGTGCATCGCCGGGAGAGCACGAAGCACAGCCCTGATGCGCTGCCACCTGCCATTACTGTCTGCTGAAGTCTGGCTGTGCTCCGTAATTGTTTGTTTTGTTGGGTTAGGCCCTTTCGGTCGACAAGACCATTGCAGAGCCGGAAGGATGATAGGAATTAGGGGGAGACATTGGTCTGGGCAGGCACCCTAGTGAGTCGCCGGGGCTGAGCCCGTCCAGAGGACAGGCCACCCAGCCCCAAGGCACTCACTGCACCCGGCTACGGGGTGCGCTCCCTCGGGAGCAGCGGTGCCGCTCCAAGGGAGCAGCCCGCATGAGATAAAGTTGCCTGTCCAGCCCGGAAGGGGGTGGCGGTGTGGAGGAGAAGGATTTCAGTATCCTGAGGATAGAAGCATGGAACGGTGCTCCGTAATGTTTTCCGAATTCATTTAGACGAAACTCGAGTGAAGTACCTAGGTCGTAGGACTTTGCATAGTTGTCTCGTTTTACAGACAAATGCCGGACGTAGCTTGTGAGAAGTGCTATTATGCGTAGTCATTTGATGTTTGTTATGGCTGAGTCTGTGACTGTGCGCGACTAATGTGAGCGTATGTTTACTTACAAGTGTAATATAAGCAACATGTAAAAACAAGACAACATATAAAAACCCGGCCCGATATCTGATTGTTTTATTTTGCATTGTTTTTCAAATGAAGTTAGACATCGATACGGCCCGCACGGAGGAACTCTTCTTGTCAGTGGCGGCGGAACACCTTCAATTAAGGGGGCCACCCGACTTTTGGTCCCATTCTTTCGACGGCCGCCCGTAGGGCTAATGTTAAAATGCAAAAATAAAAGGGTGCACGGTGCCCCGGTGCCCCCAACCCCCGTTCCGCCGCCTATGCTTCTAGTTCTACTCAGCTCCGTAAGGGCTTGCAGACATGAAACATTGCATAGATGAATAGGTAAAACCCATTATAGAGTTCAGTGGGTAAACCTTACCTTACCTAACCAGTAAAGTAACCATTAAAGGAAATAGTTCACTTTTTAACATGGGTTTTGAACTGGAATAGCAGTTCCGTAGCTTGGGCTGAGACGAGCATAAATCAGGAGCTTTTACAGCCCAACGATCACCCTAGGCAAAGATATTCTATTTCTCGTCCCGAAAAAGGTGTCTTGCGTTGAGGATGTGTGCCTTGCATATATTTCCATCCAGTATGAAAAGAGCATGGGTCCCGAAAATTCTTCAGAGAACTTCAAATTATCTACGAGAACTCTAGAGAAATTCTCGTACTGATCAATTAGGACATTCAGGGGAACATTATCAGATCGAGCAGATCGCCCAAATGCCGGTGGCTGCGATAATTTCTCTGTTTCTGGAGAATTTTCGGGACCCATGCTCTTTTCATACTGGATCGCGTGTGCCTTACAGAAACTGAAAAGTTCTTCCTATATCAAAATATAGAAAAAAAAATATTTTGTTATAAAAAGGTTTTATGTTCTTTGCTGATTATTTTGAACATAAAAAATAATAAATCGTTGCAAAGAAAAATAATTTTGTGAAAGTGAACTATTTCCTTTAACCAATATAAAATTTTGAAGCCTGTAAGGCCTTGGGGGATCTGAGGCCTCTTGCACCAAACTACCTAGCTAGGTAAAATCGAAAAACCGGTTTCAGAATAAGCTAATCTAACGGTGGTAAATTTGTTTGCAATAGCCCAATACATAATCCTACATGTGCTTGCTAAATTTTGCACGCGAATTGTTACATTTGAGACTTAGACTGGGTATACGATGCAAAATAACCCAAGCATTGAAGCAAGAGGATTTTGGTGCAAGAGGCCTCTGATATGATTGAGCTCCTAAACATGAAAATAAATAGAGAAGGTGTTATCTTATCCATTGCACATGCTTCTTCTTTTCTTCTTTGCCGCACGTCACGTGGACGCGCCCGCAGGCGCGTCGGACGGGGGCTGATCGAGCGGCGGCTCGGACCGCCCCACCCGCCGAATGTAGTCGACTATCTTGCCGGCCGGCCCGGAGAGGACCTCGTCAAGGGATGGCAGGGGTCCCCCCCAGAGCCGGCGTCTCGTGGTGGCGAATGCTGGGCACTCGGTGAGAAGGTGGCGAACGGTGTCCTCGGCACCGCACTCCCGGCAGAGAGGGTCCGGGGTGAGCTCCAGGCGGTGGAGCGTCGCTCGTGCCAGGGGGCAGTAGCCGGTCCGCAACTGCGACACGGTCACTTGCCCCCAGCGCGGGAGGTCTTGGAGTCCAGGCGTGGGCTGGGGGTGCGGGTGCCGGTGTGCACGCGTGGCCTGCATTTCCCTGGCGCGCTGCCGTATGGCGGTTCGGGCGCTGGCCAGATCGATGGGCGTCTCCGATTGGGCACACTCGGCCGCCGCACGGTTAGCCAGCCTGTCTGCCGCCTCGTTGCCGGCGATGTCGGCATGGCCTGGGACCCACTGGAGGATGATGGCCGTGTTCTGTTCCCCCAGTGAGTCCATCGCGGCCCAGACGCGCTCGGCGAGGACCAGCTGCTGGGCCTCCGGTCCGCGTTGGAGTAGCTGAAGGCCGGAGAGGGAGTCGGTGCACAGCAGACATGTCTTGATGCGGCTCCTGGTCTCCCCCGGTTGTGCCAGCAGACAGGTGAACGCCGCCAACATCGCTGCGAGTTCGGCCCGCATACTGCTGCAGACCGAGCCCGCCGGCACCAATGTCTCCACTTCGCGGTTCTCCCGGTGCAGCTGGATCAGCGCACCGCCGCCTCCGTCCCTGGTGCCGGACTTGGCGGAGCCGTCGGACCAGATGGTGCAGTCCGGGTTGACCATGGCTATGGCCTCGAGAGCGGCAGCTTTCCTCACGGCGGGTGGGTCGTCTCTTCTGGTGGCGCGCGGGAGGGAGAGGCGGAAGGTGACTGCGTCTGCTGGGTTGGTCCACGGCGGCTGTTCCGGGACCAGGGCCAGCGGTTCCCGTGGGAGGTCCGCGGCGCCTCCTTGGCCATCCACTGACTGACCCGCCGGAAGCACGGTTTGAAGGGCAGCGCCGTGTCCTCGCTCGGGGGGTCCGGCGGCGGTTCGCCGCGCCTTCTGGCCTCAGTGCGCGCTCGCTGCCAGGCCTCATGAGCCCTGTGCTTGAGGCGTGGGCGGACGTGTCGCTCGGTGAGGGCTCTGGCGGGGTCTCCTGGCGGCAGTCTGGCGAGTCGCTCCTGCTCCATTGCTGCTATTTCCCTGCCTCTCACTGCGAGTGGTGGCAGGCCGGCCTCGGTGATGAGGGTCTCCGAGTTTGTGAGGCGGATGCAGCCAGTAATCACTCTGGCGCACTTGTGCTGCTCTGCCTCGAGCCGGGCCCGCACGAAGGGTGCAGCGTGAGTGGAGTAGAGGGCAGCTCCGTAGTCGGCCACGCTGCGGATGTACGCGATGTAGGCCGCACGCAGCGTGGCTTGGTCACTGCCGTATGACCTGCCCGCCAGAGCTGTCAGACAGCATCGGCGCTGTGCCATCCTCTTCTTCACTTCCTCGATGTGGTTGGTGAAAGTGAGCTGGCTGTCCAGGGTCAGCCCCAGGAAGGTCGGGTTCTTCTCGTGCGCGAGCTGGTCGCCTTTGAAGGTCAGTGTCGGGACGACCTTTCCGTTGACCTCCTTGGCGTGTAGCGAGAAGGTGGTGAAGACGCACTTGCTTGGGCTGGCCTCGACCTTCCACTTGTCCAGCCAGCGGGCGACTTGGTCCAGATCCGGTTGCAGCTGGTCGGCGCACGCCTGCAGCGAACGTCCAGTAGCCAGGAGGGCGGTATCGTCCACGTAGAGAGAGCGGGTGGTGTTGGTGTTGATGTCTTCATCGAGGTCATTGCAATAGATCAGCCACAGTAGCGGCGCCGTCACGCTGCCCTGCGGGAGGCCCTCTTGGAAGACGCGCTGTGATGAGCGGGCGTTTCCCCACCTGACACGAGCACGCCTATCCGTGAGCAGGGCCTTCACCCACCGCGTGGCGCAGCCAGGGATGCCCATCTTCTCCATCTTGTGGAACAGGCCGTCCCGCCATACACATTGCACATGCTCCACTTTGGAGTTCAAAATAACAAATTGCACACACTCCCATATTTTGTCCCACTATAGCATTCGGTGGTTTTTATTTTAGTGGTGGTTTTCATATTTCATGACGATCGTTACGGCGCAGGCTTGACATATCACTAGTGTTCTTTTGCACATCATCAGCTTTTAATATCACTTTTGAGTAATTAATCTTTGACTAAAATTGAGTGAAGAAGCAAAAATTATGAAAAATTTGGAAGGGAATTGGATGATAAATACTTATTAACACTTATTTTTCCTTTAATGAGGGGTAGAAATCAAATTTATCCGAGATACTGCTGAGATAGCATACGTACCCTGGTAAAATGAACACAAACATATTGCAACATCCGAGGCACTGTTTGTGCCTGCAAGCACAAGCAGGCCCATGTCGTCCCCTATCTCTCTGCGTGTCCACTAACACGAATGACGTCACGCATGTGGGCGGAGCTATGGGCGGAGCCTAACGCACGCGGGCATATTTACGTCTGGACAACGAGTTGCGGGGAAAAGTGCTGATTGTGTTGCAGTTTTAGGAGCCGGTGATTAGGCTGGATTTTTGGGTTACTTTTTCGTTCTGATTCATGTATTTCATAGTGTTTGGCTTTTGAATATTTTAGTTCTTTCAGATAAATATTACTTGCCTTACAACTTTTGTAAAAACGTTTCATTTTTTATAAGCCGACGTTCAGAGTCCTAAAAATATATCAGCACTACAATCATTGTAAACAAACAAATGGAGCACCACTTGGCTCTGTTCCAAGGCCATTTTTTAGTTTATCTGGTGGTTTTCTTGCTCTTGTACGTCGTTTTGTTGGATGTTTTGGATCCCTTAAGATTGACTTATATCATATTTAAGAAGCATGTTGACTGAAAACAATCTGAAGTATCCAGGAGGCTGACAGAGGTCCTGACTACTGAGCAATATCAATATCAAGTTGAACAAGTTATGAAATTTTGGTTGATAAACGCAAGTTGATCGGGCTCATATATCAGCAAGAAAAGTAAAATTAAAAGAGCAATTATTGTCCAAAAACAAGCTATAATATTGCAGACTTTGGAGCAATACTGAAGAGCACGCTGAGCAGGATCATGCCAGAAAATGTTGACTGATGAGCGCATATTGATGTATTGGTATGAATATTGAATCATGATAACTTACAACAGCAAGATAAATTAGTGCTAACTATCAAGTTAAAATCTAGAATGAATGGACTTGGGCAGTTTTACTATGCTTAGATGCTATGCAGATTGTAATGTGCATCAGGTACTCAGTGTCTGGCAAATGAAACATGCGATCATTCCATTGCTACTGGAGGAGAAAGCTTGGCTCACGAAATCCACTTAATGTTGATTTTGATGTTAATCATCATCACTGTATTTCTTGAAAAAAGGATTGTAGTAAAATTGTCAATGTGACAATCCATGCAATGATGTGATCATATGTGTTCATAGTCATTCGTGATAGTCATTATTGGTCCAATATACAATGGCAAAGCTCTCAGTCTCAGTGTTTCTTCCTGTGGATGGCCAGCAGTGACTCAGAGCTTAGAAGTATTAGTTTTCTTCACAGGGCTGGGATAAAAAGTACTGAGGGTAATCTTCCACCAAGGAACTCTACTTTGACATGGTATGAGATGTAGGCACAAGTAGGTAGGTGCTCAGTTCCTATAGTCAGTAGTTGTGTATGTTTAGTCGGGTTAGCTTAGATCAGGTTGTTAGTTTTTTAATTTGCCAAATGTCCATAAAAATGTGACCTGAGCAATGAGCATACCTGAACCTGACTAACCTGACAGCTGACCTAACCTCAATCATCACACATATTTGCAGCCTACCCAAGACCTGCATGGCATGGTAGCACCCAGTTATAGGTAGGTACTCACCCTAACTCAATCTTACCTGCTAACCTTCAACTTGCCAAAAGTTAGCTCACATTGCCAAGCTGTGTCCAGGGAAACAGTCAACTGAGGTCTGAGGAACTGGCTCATTGGGTGGCTGGTGTGAGTCTGTGCATTTAAAGTGTTTCTTCTCTGAAGCTGCTCTGCACTGCTGTATGTCATGTTAGATGCTCAGAAAATGTGGGAAATGATTACTAAGCTACTTTAGTGCTTTGTTAATGCTCGAGACATGAACAAGTACAGATCCTGCAGGGTACAGCTATGAGTTAGGTGCTAGGTGAGTATGTTATGTGAATGTGCTGTTCCCTGTTTGACCGTAAGTATACAAACAAGCACAGGGTCACAGTTATATTCAATCTCCACAAATACATACAACAAAAACGGCCATATAGCCTAACTCCGAACACACCACAGATAACTTAAGCCTTTGAAGGCACAAAAATGTTTTGATTAACAGGACAGGTTTACAATATATCCTCTGTCCTTGGGGGATCTTGCTGCCAAGTTGAGGTATGATGACTGAACTTCAGGATTGATCAACCATTTCTTAGCCACGTCTTATATACGAGAAAGACCAAATGCTTGTTTGTTTTGATTTACAGGACATGTATACAATATATCCTCTGTCCGTACTCGTAGGGGATCTTGCTGCCAAGTTGAGGTACGATGACTGAACTTCAGGATTGATCAACCTTTTCTTAGCCACTGCTTATAAGCGAGAAAGACCAAATGCTTGTTCGTAAACTGCGTTGAAAATTTGATGATCCACCTTCAATTCTGACATGAAGGCACAAATGAAATAGTTTCCTCTCCTTTTGGAATACACAAAGCAGAATATTTAATAAAGATGAATTACACTGACGCTTATTCGCTTCATATTTTGTAACAAACGCGCTAAAACTGCAATATAACAGCACTATATGCTTCTTGACAAAATGCAATAGTATTAAAAATTTAGCCCTGATGGCATTCATTCTTGGTGGAAACGTAATTACAAAATATTTTGTAGTAACTATTAAATTCCGGCCGAAAACAGTGCACGGTTTAAAAAAGAATCATTCCAATGACGGTCCATTCTTGCGGTCCTGAAATCGCCACTATTTCCGGCCTCTCCAACGCAACTCGTTGTCCAGACGTAAATATGCCGCACGCGGCGCATATTTACGTCTGGACAACGAGTTGCGGGGAAAAGTGCTGATTTTGTTGCAGTTTTAGGAGCCGGTGATTAGGCTGGATTTTTGGGTTACTTTTTCGTTCCGATTCATGTATTTCATAGTGTTTGGCTTTTGAATATTTTAGTTCTTTCAGATAAATATTACTTGCCTTACAACGTTTGTAAAAACGTTTCATTTTTTTATAAGCCGACGTTCAGAGTCCTAAAAATACATCAGCACTACAATCATTGTAAACAAACAAATGGAGCACCACTTGGCTCTGTTCCAAGGCCATTTTTAGTTTATCTGGTGGTTTTCTTACTCTTGTACGTCGTTTTGTTGGATGTTTTGAATCCCTTAAGATTGACTTATATCATATATAAGAAGCATGTTGACTGAAAACAATCTGAAGTATCCAGGAGGCTGACAGAGGTCCTGACTCCTGAGGCGCACCTCCTGAGCAATATCAATATTGATATCAAGTCAAAGTTGAACAGGTTATGAAATTTTGGTTGATAAACGAAAGTTGATCGGGCTCATATATCAGCAAGAAAAAGTTAAATTAAAAGAGCTTATTGGCCAAAAACAAGCTATAATATTGCAGACCTTGGAGCAATACTGAAGAGCACGCTGAGCAGGATCATGCCAGAAAATGTTGACTGATGAGCGCATATTCATGTATTGGTATGAATATTGAATGATAACTTACA